GGTGGTACATTTTTATGGGTTTACATAGACAGGATGTCAAGAATGTTGGAGTTAACTCTTTCCCTCTCCTAGAAAATTAGATATTTGGACCGGTGTCCCTTGAGATCAAAGTTGAAAAACATCACCTGGTGGTACATTTTTACAGATTTACATGGACAGGAAGTCAAGAGAGTTTACTCTTCCCTTCCCCTAGAAAATTAGACATTTGCACCAACATCACTTGCAGAGAAGACTGTTGTTCTATGTCAGCCACCATTTAAGAATGAAAAGTGCAAAAACTTCACCTGGTAGCACTTTTTTAAGGGTTTACATGGCCAGGAAGTCAAGAATGTTGAAGTTAACTCTTCCCCTCCCCTAGAAAATTGGGTATTTACACCAACATCAGTTGCAGAGCAGACTGTCGTTCTATGTTAGCCACCACTTTCGGATAAAAAAGTTCAGAAACATCATCTGGCAGTACATTTTTATGGGTTTACATGGCCAGGAGGTCAAGAGTGGTGGATTCTCCCCATTTCTAGAAAATTAGATACTTGGACCAGTATCACTGAGAGGGCAGACTATCATTCTATGTTAACTGAGTCATTTTAAGATAAAAAAAAGGTTAAAAAACTTCTCCTGTGCAGAACTTTTTTATGGGTTTACATGGCCAGGAAGTCAAGAAAGTTAACGTCAACTCTTCCCCTCTTCTAGAAAAATAAGATATTTGAACCAGTATCATTTACAGAGCAGACTGTTGTTCTATGTTAACGGACAAAAAGTTCCAAAACTTCACCTGGTGGTACATTTTTATGGGTTTACATGGACAGGATGTCAAGAATGTTGCAGTTTACTCATCCCCTCTCCTAGAAAATTGGGGTATTTACACCAACATCTCTTGCAGAGCAGACTGTCGTTCTCTATGTTAGCAACAATTTTTAGGATAAAAAAGTTCAAAAAAACATCACCTGGTAGTATTTTTTTTTTTTAGATTTTAAATGGCCAAGAAGTCAAGAGCGTTGAAGTCAACTCTCCCCCAACTTCCCCCTAGAAAATTAGTTATTTGAAATCGGTGTTCCTTGGGATAAAAAGTTGAAAAACATCACCTGGTGGGCTACTTTTTTTAAGGGATATTAATGGCCAAGAAGTCAAGAGTGTTGGAGTTAACCCTTCCCCTCCCCTAGAAAAATTAGATATTTGGAACAGTATCACTTGCAGAGAGCAGACCGTTGTTCTACTTTAGTCTGCATTTTAGGATAAAAAAGTTCAAAAACATCACCTGGTGGTGCTTTTTTATAGGTTTACATGGCCAAAAAGTCAAGAGTGTTAAGAGTCAACTCTCCCCCTCCCCTAGAATATTAGTTATTTGAATCGGTGTTCCTTGGGATAAAAAAGTTGAAAAAAGTCACCTGGTGGTACTTTTTTATGGTTCCACACGACCAGGAAGTCAAGAGTGTTGGAATCAACCATTTCCCTATCTTAAAAAATTAGATATTTGGACCAGTATCACTTGCAGAGCAGACTGATGTTCTACGTTAGTCGCCATTTTAGGATAAAAAAGTTCAAACATTTCCTGGCGGTACTTTTTTATGCGCGTTTACATGGCCAGAAAGTCAAGAATGTTGGAGTCAACTCTTACCAGAGTTTTTCCCCTAGAAAATTAGCTATTTGAACCGATACCCCTTGGGATAAAAAGCTGAAAAGCATCATCTGGCGGTACTTTATTATGGCTTTACATGGCCAAGAAGTCAAGACTGTTGGAATCAGCTCTTGCCCTACCTTAGAAAAGTTTTATATTTACCCAGTATCACTTGCAGAGCAGACTGATGTTCTACGTTAATCGCCATTTTAAGATAAAAAGTTTAAAAAACATCACCTGGCAGAACTTTTTTTTTTTATAGGTTTACATGGCCAGGAAGTCAAGAAAGTTGGAGTCAACTCCTCCCCTCGAAAATTAGTTATTTGAACCGTGTCCCTTGGGATAAAAAGTTAAAAAAAAACATCACCTGGTGGTACTTTTTATGGATTTACACCGCCAGGAGATAAAGAGTTTTGTAGTCAAACCCTTCACCCTGGGTAGCACTTTTTTAATGGTTTACATGGCCAGGAAGTCAAGCAAGTTGGAGTTAACTCTCCCTCCCCCCCTCCCCTTAGAAAACAAGAGATTTGAACAGTATCATTTGAGAGCAGATTGATGTTCTTCCATGTTAGCCATCAAAACAGTTCAAAAAACATCACCTGGTGGTACTTTTTATGGACTTACATGCCCAGGAGGTAGAGTTTTGTAGTCAAACCCTTCACCTGGTAGCACTTTTTTAACGATGTACATGGATAGGAAGTCAAGCAAGTTGGCGTTAACGCTCCCTCTCCCCCCTTAGAAAACAAGAGATTTGAACCAGTATCATCTGGAGAGCAGATTATTCTTCCATGTTAGCCATCAAAACAGTTCAAAAAACATCACCTGGTGGTACTTTTTATGGGTTTACATGCCCAGGAGGTCGAGTTGTGTAGTCAAACCCTTCACCTGGTAGCACTTTTTTAACGGTGTACATGGCCAGGAAGTCAAACAAGTTGGCGTTAACTCTCCCTCTCCCCCCCCCCCCCCCCCGTAGAAAATAAGGGATTTGAACCGGTATCATCTGGAGAGCAGATTGTTCTTCCATGTTAGCCATCAAAAAGTTCAAAAACATCACCTGCTGGTACTTTTTATGGATTTACATGCCCAGGAGATAAAGAGTTTTGTAGTCAAACCCTTCACCTGGTAGCACTTTTTTAACGATTTACATGGCCAGGAAGTCAAGCAAGTTGAAATTAACTCTCCCTCTCCCCCCCTTAGAAAACAAGAGATTTGAACCAGTATCATCTGGAGAGCAGATTATTCTTCCATGTTAGCCATCAAAACAGTTCAAAAACATCACCTGCTGGTACCTTTTATGGGTTTACATGCCCAGGAGGTAGAGTTGTGTAGTCAAACCCTTCACCTGTTAGCACTTTTTTAACGGTTTACATGGCCAGGAAGTCAAGCAAGTTGGCATTAACTCTCCCTCTCCCCCCCCCCCTTTAGAAAACAAGAGATTTGAACCAGTATCATCTGGAGAGCAGATTGTTCTTCCATGTTAGCCATCAAAACAGTTCAAAAACATCACCTGGTGGTACTTTTTATGGACTTACATGCCCAGGAGATAAAGAGTTTTGTAGTCAAACCCTTCACCTGGTAGCACTTTTTTACGGTTTACATGGCCAGGAAGTCAAGTTGTAGTTAACCCCCCCCCCCCCTTATAAAATAAGAGATTTGAACCAGTAGCATTTGGAGAGCAAATTGATGTTCTTCTATCAAAAAGTTCAAAAACATCACCTGGTGGTACTTTTTATGGATTTACATGGCCAGGAGGTAGAGTTTTGTAGTCAAACACCCCCCCCCCCCCCCCCCCCCCCCCTTTTCTGTACCATCTAATTTTAAATATATTTTTATCTCCTCCAACTTTTTACGAAGAAAGTTATAAAAACAAAAAAAAAAAAACCCTCTACGCCGTATATAAACCGATGTTTAATTTCTGTTGAGTGCTTTGGTTGTACAACTCCTTTAGTGCTCCATGTATCCGCGTAGCGAGCAAAACAGTTTGCACCGGCAGGTTCCATTTTTTTTCTTTCTCCAAGTTTTCTTTTCTCTTTTTTTCTTTTTTTTTTGTAAATCAAACGTCACAAAACAAATTTGTCCTAAGGGGAAACTAAGTTCACTCTCTTTTAAACAATTTATTTAAGCTCTGTACAATTAAAAAGGCCCTTTTTGAAGGCAGTTACAAGACAAAAGCAGCATGGAGTCTGGATGTATTACCCCGAGGCCCTGATCTGGTCTCTCCACCTGCACTCTCCAGGAAGTGAAGTCTTGCCAATCTTTCCACTGTTCAAGTTTTTATTGGTTTTAACTAAGCCTCCCCCCCCCCCCCCCCCACAACGACTCACTCCATCACCCCCCACCCTCCCACCACCACCACCACCTCCTCCTCCTAAGCATTGGAGAGTTTCAATAATTAAAAAACAAGCTTTACAATAGTCTCCTGGGGATATCTGGACATGGTGACGCACAAGGTTAAAATGACAGATTGTTTCAATGTCGAGAGGAAAAATAAATATGTTTATTTAAAAAATATTGCCAAAATATTATATAATTTTTTTTTACTTATTATTAAAAAATAATAGGATTTGTGTTTTTTTTTTTTTTTTTTCTGGCAATACAGATGAAGGGATCTGCCAGTTAAAAAGTACAGTAGTTGTCAGGTGTCTACCTTTTTTTTTTTTTTTTTTTTTTCAAAAAGTGGAATGCTTTCATTTTTTTTTTTTAAAGAAATTATTTTTTTTTTTACATTTTTTTTTTTTTTACCCAACAGCCCAGTCTTAAAAAAAAAAAAAAAGAAATAATAATAGCTGGGAACCAACAATAAACTGCAAGAGGGAGGGGCAGTGGCTGTGCTTATCATTAGCATAACAAATTGAACTCAGGTACTTCCTAGACTCTTTTCACACAAACTGGAAATAAAAAAAAAAATTAAAAAAAACACAGGTTACCCCAGAGGCTTCTGGGATTCCCTCTGTGACTTGCAAACAGCAATATGCTTTACGTTAATTTACATTCATTTAGGAATAGGTGTTTAAGTCATATTGCCAATAAATATTAACACTATAAAAAGCTCATTTTGTATAAAAAAAAAAAAAATTCTATCCCCTTTATAAATCCGACATTTTCCTAAATGTACATTTTATAGACAACTGTACAAAAAAAAAAAAAAAAAAAAGTAGTAGCTTATGTTTTTGGGGAAAAAAAAAAAATTTTTTTTTTTGAAAATATTGACTTATTTTATTTTTTTTTTCCTTTTAATATGTTGTTATAAATATATTTTGCAAAATATATGATCATATGGTCAAAAAAAAAAAAATTTGCACATAAAAGACATAAATAAGGTCAAGATGATTGTTCATTTTCAGAGGAGTCCAGCAGATAACAAGCAGTCTGCCTTTGGTGTTTTTTAGCGGCATCCACAACCCTCTACCACCATCTCCTGATAGTTTTTAAGGACCACTTTGTCGTACTCGTCCAAGTACAGCATGGAAATGGCGCTCAGTTCTGTTGGTACGCAGCAAGCTTTGGGGATGCTGGAGTTAACGGAGTTAACCAGAGTTTGTACAATGGCATGGTTGGTTGAGTTTAAGTGGTCAGCCAATGGAAATGGACAATCGCCATGGGCAATAAAAGGCTTGATATCCAGGGGGTGCCACAATCCAATCGTTCCAGCCAACGTCGCTGAAATCCACGTATAACGCGTGCCTACGGCAATTTTTATTTTTTTTTACGGGCTCTCTGCTGTTTGGGACTTCGTTTTGACCTCCTGGTCAGTGCATGTCCCCTGCCGTCGTGGCTAAAGGTGATTAAAAGCGGCCTCATTTGTGACCAGTCTGAGTTCTCTTGAGGTAATAAGGAACGGCTAATCCGAACGTGCTTCCCCTGAAAATGTTTAGTCTGGTTGAGGTGGACCACCTCCACTGCAAGCCCATGGTTTATGACCTTGTCTTGGGTCCACCGCGTAATGGCCGGGCTTACGTCAAAACTTTCCCACCGCGTTACGTTGTGGTGGATGAGCCTCGTGTCCAGTAGCCTAGTGATCAACTGTTCATTCTCTGTAAAAGGTTTCATGACTTCAAATATATTTATCCTATGGAATCCCTCCTCCCACGTAGGTCCGTGGTCTATCTGTTCTCTATACAGTCTAAGCTCAGCTGACGATATCACCTCGTTCTCTGGAATGCTGGTGAGATTGAAGAAAAAACGAATACTCATGTTTCCTGTCGTGCCTGGAATGCTCTCCAAATGTTCTAACAAAGAAAGAAGAGGAAAAATTAATATTTGACTCAGCGTGGTTTGAACAGATGTAGACGAGTCTTCACACAAGCTGCCCCTACTATTCTAACAAAGAATGCAAATGACAAGATAAAGGGACCACCGTTCCTCAACTTTTTGTTAAAGTTGTCCTCACTCTTAACATGCTGCTAATAATGCAAAAATGTGCAATATGACGAGATAAACAAACTACGGTTCCTCAACTTTTTGTACAGATCTAAAGATGTCCTCACTCTTAACATGCTGCTATGAATGCACAAAATTGCAACATGACAAGATAAGGGACTTCCGTTCCTCAACTTTTTGTAGAGATCTAAAGATGTCCTCACATGCTGCTATTAATGCAAAAAAATTTGCAATATGACAAGATAAACAGACTACGGTTCCTCAACTTTTTGAAAGATCTAAAGAGTTCCTCACTCTTAAAATACTGCTATTAATGCAAAAATTTGCAATATGACGAGATATACACAAACTACGGTTCCTCAACTTTTTGAAAAGATCTAAAGATGTCCTCACATGCTGCTATTAATGCAAACATCTGTAATATGATGAGATAAACAAACTACGGTTCTTCAACTTTTTGTAGAGATCTAAAGATGTCCTCACTCTTGTCATATTGCAATTTTTTTGCCTCACATGTTCATAGCAGCATGTGAGGACATCTTTAGATCTTTTCAAAAAGTTGAGGAACCATAGTTTGTTTATCTCGTCATATTGCAATTTTTTTTTTTTTTCATTAATAGCAGCATGTTCAGACAAACTACTGTTCTTCAACTTTTTGAAAAGATCTAAAGATGTCCACTCACTCTTAACATGCTGCTATTAATGCAAAAAAGTGCAGTATGACAAGATAAAGGGACTTTCATTTCCTCAACTTTTTGTAGAGATCTAAAGATGTCCTCACATGCTGCTATTAATGCAAAAAATTGCAACATGACAAGATAAAGGGACTTCTGTTCCTCAACTTTTTATAGAGATCTAAAGATGTCCTCACATGCTGCTATTAATGCAAAAAATTGCAATATGACAAGATAAACAGACTACGGTTCCTCAACTTTTTTGAAAGATCTAAAGAGTTCCTCACTCTTAAAATACTGCTATTAATGCAAAAATTTGCAATATGACAAGATAAACAAACTACGGTTCCTCAACTTTTTGAAAAGATCTAAAGATGTCCTCACTCTTAACATGCTGCTATTAATGCAAAAAATTGCAATATAACAAGAGTGAGGACATCTTTAGATCTTTTCAAAAAGTTGAGGAACCATAGTTTGTTTATCTCATCATATTGCAATTTTTTTCATTAATAGCAGCATGTTCAGACAAACTACTGTTCTTCAACTTTTTGAAAAGATCTACAGATGTCCTCACTCTTAACATGCTGCTATTAATGCAAAAAATTGCAGTATGACAAGATAAAGGGACTTTCATTCCTCAACTTTTTGTAGAGATCTAAAGATGTCCTCACATGCTGCTATTAATGCAAAAAATTGCAATATGACAAGATAAACAGACTACGGTTCCTCAACTTTTTGAAAGATCTAAAGAGTTCCTCACTCTTAAAATACTGCTATTAATGCAAAAATTTGCAATATGACGAGATAAACAAACTACGGCTCCTCAACTTTTTGAAAAGATCTAAAGATGTCCTCACATGCTGCTATTAATGCAAACATCTGTAATATGATGAGATAAACAAACTACGGTTCCTCAACTTTTTGTAGAGATCTAAAGATGTCCTCACTCTTGTCATATTGCAATTTTTTGCTTTCATAGCAGCATGTTAAGAGTGAGGAACTCTTTAGATCTTTTCAAAAAGTTGAGGAACCATAGTTTGTTTATCTCGTCATATTGCAATTTTTTTCATTAATAGCAGCATGTTCAGACAAACTACTGTTCTTCAACTTTTTGAAAAGATCTAAAGATGTCCTCACTCTTAACATGCTGCTATTAATGCAAAAAAGTGCAGTATGACAAGATAAAGGGACTTTCATTCCTCAACTTTTTGTAGAGATCTAAAGATGTCCTCACATGCTGCTATTAATGCAAAAAAAATTGCAACATGACAAGATAAAGGGACTTCTGTTCCTCAACTTTTTATAGAAATCTAAAGATGTCTTCACATGCTGCTATTAATGCAAAAAATTGCAATATGACAAGATAAACAGACTACGGTTCCTCAACTTTTTGAAAGATCTAAATATGTCCTCACTCTTGTCATATTGCAATTTTTTGCATTAATAGCAACATGTTAATATAAACTACGGTTCCTCAACTTTTTGAAAAGATCTAAAGATGTCCTCACATGCTGCTATGAAAGCAAAAAATTGCAACATGACAAGATAAAGGGACTTCTGTTCCTCAACCTTTTATAGAAATCTAAAGATGTCCTCACATGCTGCTATGAACGCAAAAAAATTGCAATATGACAAGATAAACAGACTAAATACGGTTCCTCAAGTTTTTTAAAGGATCTAAAGAGTTCCTCACTCTTAAACATGCTGCTATTAATGCAAACAATTGTGATATGACGAAATAAACAAACTACGGTTCCTCAACTTTTTGAAAAGATCTAAAGATGTCCTCACTCTGAAAATGCTGCTACTTATACAAAAGAACACAATATGGCAGATAAAGAGACCCTCCTTCCTCAACGAGTTCCTCGCTCCTAAAAAATGCTACTACTTATGCAAACCCTGCGAACTCTACAAAGTTCAGCCTTGGAGCCACTTGCGATCCAAATTTGCAAGTTCCATCTACATAAATCACTTGGCAGGCGAGATCACATACAAAGTTTCTTTCTGAATCTGAAGTGTATTGCTCGGGAGATCCAGCAATTTTTGAAAGCATAGAGCATGCCTTGTTGATCATATTACAGAAGAGGGGGGAAAGAAAAGCAAAATTCCAGTACTGCAAAGATGCCGTGGATTAATAACTCCGATTTACCTTGGGAAAAAAACATCCGCAAGGAAACATTTGGATCGGATTACAAGGCTTCATTGAAACAAATCTTACAAACACACGGTTGTGGGTCGTTAAATACACCGAGTGTACTTTAAGTATTAAAGCGAGTGGAAAAAAACAGGGAGGTGCGCCTTGCGCCTTTGATGAGATGGGAGCACATAACGCAGTTTATACAAGCTGAAAACTAACCTATGCTCCGCATGTAACATAAATGGGCGAGACCGAGCTTTTTTTAAGGGATTCAAAGCAAGTTCAACGGGACAATCACAGGTTTGTTTAAGCCGAAGGGGTTCAGGCAAAAAAAAAAAAAAAAAAAAAAAAAACATTTGGTGTTGTGTGGTAGATAATGTAACAAAGTTTAAATAAACGAAAAAAAAACAAAACAAAACAAAAATCCATAATAACATTGACTAGGTGCACGCGTCATGTGACTCAGGACTTGGAAAGCGGACCAATGGCTAACTTCCATGTTAAAGAACATGATGCGGAAATCACAACATCAACTGCCCCACCTGTGATAGTACAGCACCAAGCATGAAGCCAGTGTTTCTCAACCAGGGATCCGTGGAACTCTACGGTTCCTACAAAAGGTGCTAGGCGTTCCTTGAGCAATGAGCAATTTAGGTCTCTCAGATAAGTTTTAGCTAAGGGGGGGGGGAATTATTCCCAATGACTACAAATATAAGGGACATTCTTCATACTGACCCCCAATGTAAGGGACATTCTTCCCACTGACCTCCAATGTAAGGGACATTCTTCATACTGACCCCCAATGTAAGGGACATTCTTCCCACTGACCCCCAATGTAAGGGACATTCTTCCCACTGACCCCCAATGTAAGGGACATTCTTCCCGCTGACCCCCAATGTAAGGAACATTCTTCCCATTGACCACCAATGTTAGGGACGTTCTTCCCACTGACCACCAATGTAAGGGACATTCTTCCCACTGACCACCAATGTAAGGAGCATTCTTCCCACTGACCTCCAATGTAAGGGACATTCTTCCCCACTGACCACCAATGTAAGGGACATTCTTCCCACTGATCACCAATGTAAGGGACATTCTTCCCACTGACCCCCAATGTAAGGGACATTCTTCCCACTGACCACCAATGTAAGGGACATTCTTCCCACTGACCCCCAATGTAAGGGACATTCTTCCCACTGACCCCCAATGTAAGGGACATTCTTCCCGATGATCACCAATGTAAGGGACATTCTTCCCACTGACCACCAATGTAAGGGACATTCTTCCCACTGATCACCAATCTAAGGGACATTCTTCCCACTGATCACCAATGTAAGGGACAATCTTCCCACTGACCACCAATGTAAGGGACATTCTTCCCACTGACCCCCAATGTAAGGGACATTCTTCCCACTGACCCACAATGTAAGGGACGTTCTTCCCACTGATCACCAATGTAAGGGACATTCTTCCCACTGACCCCCAATGTAAGGGACATTCTTCCCACTGACCCCCAATGTAAGGGACATTCTTCCCACTGACCCCCAATGTAAGGGACGTTCTTCCCACTGATCACCAATGTAAGGGACATTCTTCCCACTGATCACCAATGTAAGGGACATTCTTCCCACTGACCACCAATGTAAGGGACATTCTTCCCACTGACCCCCAATGTAAGGGACATTCTTCCCACTGACCCCCCAATGTAAGGGACATTCTTCCCACTGATCCCCAATGTAAGGGACATTCTTCCCACTGACCACCAATGTAAGGGACATTCTTCCCACTGACCCCCAATGTAAGGGACATTCTTCCAACTGACCCCCAATGTAAGGGACATTCTTCCAACTGACCCCCAATGTAAGGGACATTCTTCCCACTGACCCCCATGTAAGGGACATTCTTCCCACTGACCCCCAATGTAAGGGACATTCTTTCCTCTGCATTGAAAAGGTTGGTCTACGCATTTAGAGATCCCAGGATGCGTAGCTCCGTACTAAGCTCTTATCATTCTATAACGCATTTAGCATCAGGTATGTACAAGAAAATCAAACTGTCTGCTTATTGCTCCTTACCCATCAACGGGACAACTTAGAACATTTTAGAAAAGACCTTCAATGTCACCTAGATCTTCAGTTAGGTTTTTCATTACAGTTTCCTCACACACAAACGTGACTTTAAGTGACAAATCTGTGCCTATAATACCACTGTAGAGTATAATCAAGGTTTAGAAACCTGTTTCTGGGGTTCACGTGCATTAAATATCACTTAAGCAGATTTTAAAGTCAACTTTACGAAGACCCTAAATACTGAGGAACTTCGAGTCAAGCTGGTAGACCATGCTGCTGCTTCTAGTCCTTCCAAAGGCTGGAAGTCAACAAGATGCCTACGACCAAGTAACCAGAAGAACTTAGATCTACACATTTATAAACCTTCAAGCTGGAATTCAACAAGTTGCATGCAACCAACGAAAAAGAAACGTAGGTCTACATCGATATATCTTCAGGCTGGAGTTCAATAAGATGCCTAGGACCAAGTAACCAGAAGAACTTAGATCTACACATTTATAAACCTTCAAGCTGGAATTCAACAAGTTGCATGCAACCAACGAAAAAGAAACGTAGGTCTATATCGATATATCTTCAGGCTGGAGTTCAATAAGATGCCTATGACCAACTAACCAGAAGAACTAAGTTCTGCATGCGACCAACTTAAAAAAAAAACAACTTAGATCTACACACTGATATATCTTCAGGCTGGAAATTCAACACGATGCAATGCGATTAACTAAAAGGAACTTGGGTTCTTCAGGTTGGAAGATAGGTGCCAACCCGGCCAACGCAAGTGGTTTAACCTCTGATGGTTCTTTTCATTTTTTTCGCAATGAGAAGACTGCCAAGAAGCTATTACATGGTTAGCATTGGGCTGCTGCAACCTTAGCAAGATAGGAGTGCACTCCCGCATTACCAACAGACGATAATTCAACATATACGGCGATAACAAGGGAGTGAGCAGCTGGGCGAGTCTCAGCTATGAGGGATCGCAGGCTCGCATACCTATATCCAGGTCAGGAATTAAGCAGTTGCTACATGCCTAATGTACAAAGGGGGGGGGCTGGGACTTTAACAGGACTCTGCAAAATACATGATGGAAATTAAGGGGGATGGTCAGTTAGTTGTTGAACAGTTCTACACAAACACAAGACAATGGAAGGTGTTACCGGGCATTACATGAGAATAGGTAAGAGCTCCAAGGATATTATACCTCAACAGACAGACTGAAGACAAGGCACAATGCTCAAAGAGTTTTATATACTGGGTGTATACAGGAGGTACCTTGGGGGGTGGGGGGAAGGGGGGGGAATGACTTTCCAACATAATGATGCTAAAATGATTAAAAGGTGGCCAAGATATCTCACAAGGGTGCCCTACAAGGACAGAGCTTTGGGTTTAAAGCTCTAAAGTCATAACATAAAGATCCACCACAAAGAACCTTCTCCAAACCTGATCCAGAAGAGACCCCAGTAGGGCTGAAACCACCATTCAGAACACAAACAGGGGACTGCGACATTCCAACTTCTAAAAAGTTGTTTTGGTTTTTTTTTTTTGGAAGCCTTTTCTAGTAGGAACCCACGCCTGACCCTCCTTTCCACCCCTCCAGAGGCACAACACAACGTTCTGGGACACTTACCTTCATGGTGGAAGCTCCTCACTGTGTTGGCGCGGCTGGTAGGTCTCTCGGGGTACTCCAAGCTGATCTCCTGCAATTCGTCCTCCTCCTCGGCCGACTGGAGCCGGTACAAGTCCCGCATGTAGTCGGGCACCACCACCTCCTTGCTGGGCTGTGGACGCTTGCGGAGGCCGAACATCTGCAGCAGAGTCGCCTCGAAGTCCCGCAAGAGCTCATGGCTCTGAGCAGACCTCCTTCCGCCCGCTTGGCCCTGAATCTCAGCCACTTTCTTCTTCCCGGTCTCAGGAATCAGACTGGCATGGCTAGTGCCTCCTAGCAGGACTTGGCATAATAAAATGACCATCAGCATTCGGTTACCACGAATCATGGTGTCTCTGGGATGCAGAACACAATACATGCAAATAAGTAGGAGGCTCATTGGGGGGGGGGGGGGTGTTTTTTTAAAAAAAGAGCTAAAGTCAAGGAGGCTACAGACAGAACAACAGGACAAGAGCGAGCGGCCCCAATCTACTCCTCATGCCCAGGGGGTTGGGGGGGGGGGGGGGGTGATGGGAGGGGGGGGGGGGTGACTATCATGGTCTAACTTGTTTACTGGCAAATAGCTCATTATCAGATAGCCACTATCCCCACTAATCTGTGTGCTGTCTCTGGGCTTCTATCTGCACAATTATCTCAGCCAGCAGAATAAACAGGCTGGGCGTGCAGCGAGCTCATCGCCATCAGCGCTTGCAGAATAAACAGGCTGGGCGTGCAGCGAGCTCATCGCCATCAGCGCTCGCAGAATAAACAGGCTGGGCGTGCAGCGAGCTCATCGCCATCAGCGCTTGCAGAATAAAACAGGCTGGGCGTGCAGCGAGCTCATCGCCATCAGCTCTTGCAGAATAAACAGGCTGGGCGTGCAGCGAGCTCATCGCCATCAGCGCTTGCAGAATAAACAGGCTGGGCGTGCAGCGAGCTCATCGCCATCAGCGCTTCCAGGGCGGCTGCACCCAAAAAACACGCATTTTCCTGCAATTCATCCCTGGACCAGTCCATCATATGAGGACCGCCACTGACACCCCCTTATTCCATCAGATGGGGACCCCCCCTCCCCAGTCCCTGATAGGGACCACCACTGACACCCCCACTCCAGTCCCTGATAAGGACCACCACTGACACCCCCTCTGTCACCTTCTCCCCCAATACATGATACAACATGACAACCTCACCCATCAGAAGAGGGGTCCTCACCCTACATCTGGGGACCCTCCTGCATGGATAATGGGGGGGGGGGGGGGTGGAAAAAATGAGAATAAAAGTCTACTCACTGACAGAGAACAAGGCATAGAACAACAGTCCATGATTCTTGACAGGCAATGAGGGACAAATGGGTGGAAAAGCTCAGGGGGGTCCGCAGGCTCTCGGCAGATCGGATGGAATGGAGAGAACTCCGGCAATGACTACACTGAGCAGCCAGACTCCCAGCGCCTGCTTTTCATCCAGCCCACCGACCGGTCACGTGGGGAGCCCGGGGAGCCTGCCAATCACCGGCCGGACGCCTATATAAGCCCGACGACGCCCCCCTCCTGTCCGAGCAGAGCGCGGGGTGTGTGCGGGGATCGCAGGAGAGAGATCGGGGGGGATGGAGGAGATTGATACATAGTACATTCCTCTGCCGGGAGAATGATACAAACTGATACAATGTACATTATTATCCCTAGATTGGAATATACATCGTATACCACACAGAGGAACAGTATATATATATATATATACTCACACATATGATCCTCTATATACCACACAGAGGAACAGTATATATATTATATATAGATACATATTATCCTCTATATACCACACAGAGGAACAGTATATATATATATACTCACACACATATGATCCTCTATATACCACACAGAGGAACAGTATACAGTATATATATAGATACATATTATCCTCTATATACCACACAGAGGAACAGTATATATATATATACTCACATATATGATCCTCTATATACCACACAGAGGAACATTATATATATATATATACTCACACATATGATCCTCTATATACCACACAGAGGAACAGTATACAGTATATATATAGATACATATTATCCTCTATATGTGTCATACAATGTATATTCTCCTCTACATGTGTCATACAATGTATATTATCCTCTACATGTGTCATACAATGTATATTCTCCTCTATATGTGTCATACAATGTATATTCTCCTCTATATGTGTCATACAATATATATTCTCCTCTATATGTGTCATACAATGTATATTCTCCTCTATATGTGTCATACAATGTATATTATCCTCTCTATATATATGTGTCATACAATGTATATTATCCTCTATATATATATGAGTCATACAATGTATATTCTCCTCTACATGCGTCATACAATGTATATTCTCCTCTACATGCGTGCGTCATACAATGTATATTCTCCTTTACATGCGTCATACAATGGATATTCTCCTCTACATGCGTCATACAATGTATATTATCCTCTATATATATGTCATACAATGTATATTATCCTCTATATATATGTCATACAATGTATATTCTCCTCTATATGCGTCATACAATGTATATTCTCCTCTATATGCGTCATACAATGTATATTCTCCTCTATATGCGTCATACAATGTATATTCTCCTCTACATGTGTCACACAAATGTATATTCTCCTCTATATGCGTCATACAATGTATATTCTCCTCTATATGTGTCATACAATGTATATTCTCCTCTATATGCGTCATACAATGGATATTATCCTCTATATGTGTCATACAATGGATATTCTCCTCTATATATATGTGTCATACAATGTATATTATCCTCTATATGTGTCATACAATGTATATTCTCCTCTATATTTGTCATACAATGGATATTCTCCTCTATATTTGTCATACAATGGATATTATCCTCTACATGCGTCATACAATGTATATTCTCCTCTATATGCGTCATACAATGTATATTCTCCTCTATATGTGTCATACAATGTATATTCTCCTCTATATGCGTCATACAATGTATATTATCCTCTATATGTGTCATACAATGTATATTATCCTCTATATATATATGTGTCATACAATGGATATTATCCTCTATATATATATGTGTCATACAATGGATATTATCATCTATATGTGTCATACAATGTATATTCTCCTCTATATGTGTCATACAATGTATATTATCCTCTATATGTGTCATACAATGTATATTCTCCTCTACATGTGTCATACAATGTATATTCTCCTCTATATGTGTCATACAATGGATATTATCCTCTATATGTGTCATACAATGTATATTCTCCTCTATATGTGTCATACAATGGATATTCTCCTCTACATGTGTCATACAATGGATATTCTCCTCTATATATATGTCATACAATGTATATTCTCCTCTATATGTGTCATACAATGTATATTCTCCTCTATATGTGTCATACAATGTATATTCTCCTCTATATGTGTCATACAATGGATATTCTCCTCTACATGTGTCATACAATGTATATTATCCTCTATATGTGTCATACAATGTATATTATCCTCTATATGTGTCATACAATGTATATTCTCCTCTATATGTGTCATACAATGGATATTCTCCTCTACATGTGTCATACAATGTATATTATCCTCTATATGTGTCATACAATGTATATTATCCTCTATATGCGTCATCGTTAATTTACTCAACGCTTTACATGTATATATATATATTGTACATTCACATCAGTCTCCGCCCCCGAGGAGCGTACAATCCAAGGTCCCTAACTCACATCCATACACACACATACTTACCTCCCAGCATGTCTTTGGAGTGTGGGAGGAAACCAGAGTTCCAACCAATGTGCTATTCGTTCAGAATGATGGAAATGGCAAAGAATCAGATTGTCACAACTTCCCTTTTCGATCAATTTAAACTCAGTTTAGATCGGATTTGCTTAATCTGAGCTGATCAGCCAGGGCAGAATATTATCGATCGTTGTGTGTCAATCGGCAATATTGAGGTAGTTCGGTCATACATTCAACTGGTGGAAACAGAGACAAATCAATCGTTGACAATCCTACTTTCCAACAATCGATCTAATTCCACTTCTCTGTGTTTGTCATTTCAGTCGATTGTGTTGTCGACTATCGATCGATTATTTCCTATCAGGATAGACAATTGATCAATTATTGAAGTGTGAATGGCCACCATTAGAAAGTCTGAAGCTGGCCACAGATGATTCATTTGTTTTAGTTCATCCAGCGAGCAGAAGAAAGAACATCGAACGTTCTTCCATCCAAAGAGGTGTGGTGTATGGAGGAATCCCCCCACCTGGACCCAGCGCTGTCAGAAGACACGGATCACAGGCTGCAGCTGATTGGCTAGAGCTGCTGATTGACAAGTTTCCAGCTGCACAGACCACTTCTGTCCAATAGGTGCGGCCACACACTGATCGAACTCTGACCAGTCCCTTCTGAACCCGCCGAATATCCATCCAGCTTTATGGTGGCCATACATGCCCTAATCAATGATTGTGATCGATCCCTCCTGATAGGAATAATCCCTCTATAGTCAACAATTCAGTCAATATGCCACACAGGAAAGTGGATATCAATCAATTATAATAACCTATCCACAGTACACAGCAGGGGCGGACTGACCATTTGGGAACTCGGGCACTGCCCGAGGGCTCGGGGTCAGTAGGGGGCCCCATGAGATGCCCCTGGTACCTTTTTCATAGGCTTTTTTGAGTTTGGGCAAGGACACAGGGGCCCCATGATCCCCTATTGCCTGCGGGCCCCATGAGTTGTCAGTCCGCCCCTGGTACACAGTACACAGTACACAGGGTTGGATTTACTATTAGGTGGTGCAGACACCTGTCTATAGGTAAGGAGGAAGCACCCCCCCCCCCCCCCCATCTCGGTCGGAATATTCTTCTCCTATAATTCCATCACATTCAGGGGCGGACTGACAACTCATGGGGCCCCCGGGCAATAGGGGATCATGGGGCCCCTGTGTCCTTGCCCAAACTCAAAAAAGCCTATGAAAAAGGTACCAGGGGCATCTCATGGGGCCCCCTACTGACCCCGGGCCCTCGGGCAGTGCCTGAGTTTCCAAATGGTCAGTCCGCCCCTGATCACATTCTGAGAATTCTGAGGAGAGGAAAACATGGAAATGTGAGGTTATCCTGGGGGGGGTTTGCACCTGCAGGGTGCGATGATGGGGGGCTTGCGCCTGCAGGCTGCGATGATGGGAGGGGGGGTTGCGCCTGCAGGCTGCGATGATGGGGGGGGTTGTGCCTGCAGGCTGCGATGATGGGAGGGGGGGTTGCGCCTGCAGGCTGGGATGATGGGGGGGATGCGCCTGCAGGCTGCGATGATGGGAGGGGGGGTTGCGCCTGCAGGCTGGGATGATGGGAGGGGGGGGATGCACCTGCAGGCTGCGATGATGAGAGGGGGGGTTGCGCCTGCAGGCTGGGATGATGAGTGGGGGGGTTGCGCCTGCAGGCTGGGATGATGAGAGGGGGGGTTGCGCCTGCAGGCTGGGATGATGAGAGGGGGGGTTGCGCCTGCAGGCTGGGATGATGAGAGGGGGGGTTGCACCTGCAGGCTGGGATGATGAGAGGGGGGGGGTTGCGCCTGCAGACTGGGATGATGGGAGGGGGGGGTTGCACCTGCAGGCTGAGATGATGGGAGGGGGGATTGCACCTGCAGACTGCGATGATGGGAGGGGGGGGTTGCGCCTGCACATTGGGATGATGAGAGGGGGGGTTGCGCCTGCAGACTGGGATGATGGGAGGAGAGGGTTGCACCTGCAGGCTGCTATGATGGGAGGGGGGTTTGCGCCTGCAGGCTGGGATGATGGGAGGGGGGGTTGCGCCTGCAGGCTGCGATAATGGAAATGCAGCCCTGTGGATACAAAGCTCGGCTTAGCACATGATGACAATAGGAATTATTCATCAGCTGCATTAGCACTACAGACATGCTAAACTGGCCTTTCATGCCCTGTGATTGGGTATATCATGGATTGAAAGGCCACTTTTGCATACCTTAAGTACTAATGCAGCTCAATGAGTTTTAGTGATTTTAGATTCATTCCCGCGATGTGATTTTAGATTGTGTCCCCCAATGTGACTTTAGATTCGGTCCCCCAATGTGATTTTAGATTCCGTCCCCCCGATGTGATTTTAGATTGTGCCCCCTGATGTGATTTTAGATTCGGTCCCCAATGTGATTTTAGATTCCGTCCCCCGATGTGATTTTAGATTCCGTCCCCCCGATGTGATTTTAGATTCCGTCCCCCGATGTGATTTTAGATTCCGTCCCCCCGATGTGATTTTAGATTCCGTCCCCCGATGTGATTTTAGATTCCGTCCCCCGATGTGATTTTAGATTCCGTCCCCCGATGTG